TAGTAACCTAGTTGAACGGATGAATTCCAGGTTAAGTGAGCGACTCTGTCTCAAAAAAATAAGATGGAGAACAATCAAGGAAGATACATGATATCAACTTTGGCTTTCATTTACATGTATACACTCATTCCTATACATACAACACACACACAGACACACACAGAGTATAATCATTAATGCTGGTCTTAAGAAGGGATGTAATATTCATTAGACTATGGGTGATCTCTTTAATCTTTTTTATCAATTATTTTATTTTTTATATGGACAAGTACATGCATGTATGTCTGTGCACCATGTGTATGTCTGATGTACATGGAGGCCAGAAGGCATCAAATTCCCAGGAAATGGAATTACAGATGGTTGTAAACTACCATATGGGTGCTGGGAATCAAACCCAGATACTCTGGAAGAGCAGTCAGTGCTCTTAACTCCTGAGCCATGTTTTCAGTCCCACAATTTTCTTATTTATATGTAAGATAAACGATACCTCCCTCATAGAATGTCTGGAGTTAGACAACAGAACAAATGTGTAAGGTCTAGATAGCTAATAAGAAAGTACCCGTGTTCTTGAGATCTCATCACTCTTGCTTGCTATTTTACCCAAAGACTGGGAGACAGAAATTGGGAAAGAAAAGGATTTGTTTACAGTTTTGGCCAGACTGGGGAGAGAGAAATTCTTAGCTTCTCTCAGCCCTGCCAGTAGCAGCATTGCAGTTTATAGAAAGGATGAAACAAAAGCCAGGAAATATGCATATGTACATTTAGCTCTGAGATAAGTTATTGGAACTCTGAGATAAATCTTCTCCTTGGAGATGCTTCTCCTCTGACTCCAGGGCTCTGAGGCTGTTTTCCACATAGTCTGGAATTTTCTGAAGAATTTCTAATTTTTTTTTTTTTTTTTTTTAAAATTTTTAATTTTTTTTTTTTTTTTTTTTAGAATTTCTAATTCTTTAGGACTCTTATTACTACTTTTTTCCCTCCATTAGCTGAACCTTAACATTTAAAATAAATTTTGTTATGACATTTTTATATACTGTTTATCATCCTATTTAGTAGTTTTACATTTCTAAGAGATAAAAAGACATGTTCCACTTAGTTGACCATGTATGTGACAAGTAGGGAATGCACAATCAACATATGGACATGCTTCCCTAGACATGTCCCAGAAAAGCCATTCCCTACCTCTTCCTAGGTCCAATGAGATACGCATGACAGTAATCCTTGTCCTCATTTTAGAGATCAGGGATCTAAGGGACTTAATCAGCAACTGGGTAGCTTGTTCAAGGATTTCAAGGCTAGGTCATTCATGCCTATAATCCCAATACTTGAAAGGATAAAGCAGGAGGAGTTCAAGCGCCAGCTACACAGTGAGACCATCTCAGAAGGAAAGGTTAGGACCTGGAGAGATGGATCTGCAGTAAAGAATACTTAATCTCTTCCAGAGGCCCAGGGTTTGATTCCCAGCGCCCATGTCAGGCAGCTTACAACCGTCTGTTACTCCTGCTCCAGGAGATCTTATGCCTCTGGCCTCTGCTGGCACCTACACTCACAAGCACAAAACCACATCCAGACACACAAACCAACACATAATTAAAAGTAGTATCTGTAAACATTAAAAAAGAAAAAAGATGCCGGGCAGTGGTGGCTCACGCCTTTAATCCCAGCACTCGGGAGGCAGAGGCAGGCAGATCTCTGTGAGTTCGAGCCCAGCCTGGTCTACGAGAACTAGTTCCAGGACAGCCTCCAAAGCCACAGAGAAACCCTGTCTTGAAAAACAAAAACAAACAAAAAAAAAAGGAAGGAAGGAAGGAAGAGAAAGAGAAAGAAAGAAAGAGAAAGAGAAAGAGGAAGAGAAAGAGAAAGAGAAAGAGGAAGAGAAAGAAAGAGAAAGAGGAAGAGGAAGAGGAAGAAAGAGGGTTCAGCTGAATGTGATGGTTCATTCCTGGGATCCCAACACTTAGGAGGTAAAAGCAACAAGATAAGGGGTTCAAGGCGAGCATGAACTACACAAGATTTGTCTAAAAAAATAAAGAAACCAGATGGTGGTAGCCCACACCTTTAATCCTAGCACTCAGGAGACTGGGACTGGCAGATCTCTGAGATTGAGGCCAGCCTGGTCTTCAGAGAAAGTTCCAGGACAGCCAGGGTTACACAGAGAAACTCTGTCCCCAAAAAAACAAAATAAAACAAAACAAAACAGAAGAAGAAAACAGAAATGAGGGTTAAGGCTAATGCAATCCTCTTTCTTAATTTTCCTAACATTTAGATGCATTCTGTACACTCCACTCCATTCTCTACAAAGTCAAAGGATAATGGGTATCCCCCAAATAGCCTGATAACGGGGAGAAACCTGGAAAGGATAAGGACAAGAAAGAGAGTGCCAGACACGGTGGTGAAGACCTTTAATCCCAGCACTTAGTAGACAGAGGCAGGTGGACCTTTATGAGTTCAAGACCAGCCTGGTCTACATGTGGAGTTCCAGGCTAGCCAATGCTGGGCTACTTAATGAGACTCAAAAAAAAAAAAAATGGAAGCTAAAGACAGCATTGGGGTTGGCACCCTTTATTCCCAAGACTGAGTTCTTCCACGAGGCCATCTATACTCCCCAGGCTCACTCCCCCTAAGAGTACAGGGAAAACCCAAACATGTTCCCGCAGAGATGGCTCTGTACTGGCTTCAGGGCGTTAGGACCCTGAAAGGCCTTTGTGCCATCGGGGCTTTTTTTTTTTTTTGAACAGGGTGTATAGCCCTGGCTGTCCATGAACTCTCTGTGTGGACCAGGCTGGTCTTGAACTCACAGAATTCTGTTTGCCTTTGAAGGACAATATCTAGGAGACATTCCAGGGAGGAAGTGGGTCTTGAGGAGAAGAACTTTGGAGAGTGAAGGCTTGATGACAGAAGGTGGCCTGACCCCAGGAGACAAAGGTGCAGACTCTGGGGAGCAAGGATCAGAGAGAGGAAGAGCACCCAGCATCAGGCCTGGCACACAGTGACCTTGAACATGAAGGGTTAAATAACCTCTGTCCCCACGGAAAACTGGAGGCCATCACCTGCCTGTGCTATATTTCAATTTGCCTCACACACTGGGGCTTCACTTCATTACCCATGGAAATTCAGCTTCATTGATATGAAGAGGCTAATTACTACATGGGACATAATTACAAGACAGGAAATGGATTTACAGCTGCTCTCAGAGGGAGGGGGGCTGCAGCAGGCCCTGGCTGCTCTGCCCTCCTGCCTAAAGGGCTAAATGCAGCCCCCAGGACCCAGGAAGGACATTCTCACGGTACCAGACAATGGGCTCCTACAGAAGTCAGGGGTACTCTGGAAACAGTCCAGTTTTCCCTCTAAACTTAGCCCACCATTACTGATGTGTTGCAAGAGGATCCTTTGACATAATAATAATAAAAAAATCATACTGACGGGCGTGGCATTTAGCTCATGGGTAAAGTGCTGGATTCTATCCCAGCACTAACAACAACATAGGGTTTTCTGTGGCATGTGGTAGTCCTCACCTTTAATCCCAGCACTTGTCAGGCAGAGGCAGCCAGATCTCTGTGTGTTTGAGGCAGCCTGATCTATATGGCTGGTTCCAGGCCTGCTTAGGGTATTACATAGTGAGACTCTGTCTCAAACAAACCCCTCAGAAATGTAGTCTCTTTTGAGTTCCTTATGGCTTAGATTTTTTTTTCTATTTTAAAATAATGTCTTAGCCAGGTGGTGGTGACATGTAATCCCAGCACTAGGCAGAGGCACAGAGAAACCCTGTCTCGAGAAACAAACAAACAAAAAAAAGTAAAGTAAAATAATGTCTTAATTCATAAAGACATATAAAGATACAAACATAAGTGGAAAAGGTCCATCTTTGTTGCTAACTAAAGATAAATTAGTAATAGCCAAAGTTTATGAGCTGAAGCATGGCAGTGGTAGCACACACCTCTTTAATCCCAGCACTTGGGAGGCAGAGCCAGAGCGATCTCTGTGATTTCAAGGCCAGCCTGGTCTACATAGTGAGTTCCAGGACAGCCAGGGCTACACAGAGAAACCCTGTCTGTAATTTTATTTATTTTTTATTTTTTAATAATTTATTATTTAACTTTATTTTGTGTGCATTGGTGTGAAGGTATCAGATCCCTTGGAACTGGAGTTTCAGACAGTTCTGAGCTGCCATGTGGGTGCTGGAATTGAACCCAGGTCCTCTGGAAGAGCAACCAGTGCTCTTAACCGCTGATGCATCTCTCCAACCCCTGTAATTTTAAAAATAAGTTTATGACCGGGCATTGGTGGCACATGCCTTTAATCCCAGCACTTGGGAGGCAGAGGCAGGCGGGTCTCTGTGGAGGATGAGGCCAGCCTGGTCTACAGAGTGAGTTCCAGGACAGCCTCCAAAGCTACAGAGAAACCTTGTCTGGAAGATCAAAAAATATTAAAAAAAATAAAAAAGTTTATGAGGTGAGTGTGGCGATGCACATCCGAAATCCCATTACCAAAGAGGCTAGGGTAAGAGGCTCAAAAGTGCAAGGCCTGGGCTAAGTATAGAAATCCTGCCTCAATAATAAATCACAGTCAAACTTACGAAGCACTCTTGATTTGCCTACATCACTTGTTCATTTTTCACAAGAGTTCCACGAGGAAGGGACAGCCAACCACCCCAACTTGCACCTAAGGAACAGAGACATAGAGGGCCAACCAAGGTCACAGAGGCGAATGCTAGGGCGAGGGCCAACCCTTATCCTATCCAGAGCCTGGATATTCTCAACAACGGTGAGAAAAACCTCCTAAATTAGAAATGGTATTTTCTCAAATGTCTTAAAAATAGCACTCTCTCTCCTCCAGCAAGCA